CCCCGACTCCCGATACTCAAGTATTTCTCAGGGTGGCACCAGTCCCAGAGAAAAACGGCCAGGAGCTCCTTTCATTTGCAAATCGAAATTCTCGCTCGGCCCGGGGCTCATGCAGTCCCTTGCCTCTGCTGGGGTCTCTCCGGTGAGACCGAAACCGCCCCAGAGCACAGAGCTTCCTATGCCCGGCAAAGGCCCTGCTGCCCTCCAACAAAGGCGATGGTTCCCGTAAACGGGAGAAGGTTTTATAATAAGCAGGCACGTGGAGAGGCATGCGAGGGGAGACGCCTCACTCCATCCCATTGGATTAGATCTAGAGGTCTAAATTCCCAGAGAATTTGCCTGTATTTTTACCTGCATCTCAGGGCCGGCCGGGTGGTTTTCCGAAGGTGCGTCCAAGTACTTTCGCTTTATCCCCCGGCCGCAGATGCCCGCTCCGAGCTTTGCCCTTACCTGAGTTTCCGTGAGGCTGAGGCTGTGTGCCAGCTGTTTTCTCTCTGCTCCTACTACATAATGGTTCTTCTCAAAGGCATGTTCCAGTCTCAGTAATTGGGATGGGGAGAAAGCTGTACGGATCCGTTTGGGTTTCCTGGCCAGTGCATTGTGCAATAGGAAGCTCTCCGGGCTGGTTTCATTCCCTGGGCAATAGGGAAAAACAGAGATTAGCAACACACCTTCCCCAAACCCACTCGGGAGGACTTTTTAGAGCAGGGTTTATTTTCTCCCACCATTACCCGCAGGAGAAAATCTACGTGTTATTTTCAGAAAGCGCCTTTCTTCAGTTGTCCTTCGAGAAATAGATGGAAGGAAGGCATAGGGGAAGGAGAGGACTCCAGAACATCTGGGGAAAAAATCAAATACTAAAACACAACCTAGGGAGGACTGGGGAAAAAAAGAAAAAAAAAGTAAAAGAATTGGCCAGAGCCCGGCTGCGGAGTCTGCGGCTTCATCCTGCAGCAGTGCCGCTTTCCCTTACCCACCGTCATCCTCAACTCTCCCCTTGTTTGTTTGCTTATTTATTTCCTCCCGGCGCGGCGATCTGGACTGAACCGAGCGGCGCGGTCCCGGCCGAGCCCCCGCCTCCCCGGCCGGCCGCGGCGCTCGGGGACGGGCCACGCAG